TTAGTAGAGCAACATCTGCTTTATCGATTGGAAATATTTTCAAGTGTCCAAAACATCTATAAAGTGCTCACATATGCCATGTATTTTAACATTGTGTGGTAATAGAATGATATGAATTCGTGTTTTTTAAAGTTTTCTAAAAACTATGATTTTCTTAGGGGGGTGGGTCACCTTGGCAGAGATATTTCTAAAAGTACTCGTCGCAGCTGAATCCCACTTTGCATGACTGTTTCTAGATAATATGTTTGCAACGTACTAAAAGATTATTGTGATATTGTAATAAGTCATCCGTCAGTGTTAAAAAGATTGGCAGTATAACTCTGATTTGTGATCATTTTTTTGTCCAAGTATCGTATATGACACTAAAAGGGCAGTTACAAGAAAAGTATGAGACTTAGGAAAGTAAATCTTTAGTACGTTGCAGGTTGTATATACACAAACTCTGTGTGACAATATCAAGGCTGTATCAATTCAATCTTTTTCAGAATCCCTGCCAACAATTTGCGCGAATTTTGGTCTGTCGAACCCTTTGCATCTTAAAAATTCAAAAATTGACAGTGAAATCATACAGGGATAGTGTGTTTTTGTTTCTTGACCCATATTGGTTATTGGGAATCCCAGTACACTTAATTTAGAGCCCAAACAAAAATTTTCATTTCAGCTGTACCTAGTTCACCTTAAGGTAGGTATGTACGGTGTTTGAGAAAAAAAGAATCCACAAATCATGAATGGGTAACAATCCATAGGCCCATTGCACACCTCTGTAGAACAAAGATATCCCTTTACTATTTCGTTTAGCTCGGGTTCAAGATAGGTTTATGAATTACATTCTTTCACCCGTCCCTCTATTTATTATCTCTGCTTCATTCATTCATTCTCACACTGCCCTTGAAAAGTTGAGCCAATCATTCTTTCCGCTGCATTGATTGGGTGCATTGTTATGGTTATTGTTATTGTTATCACATGATTACTGTCATTATCAAAGTTATCATTATTGTTGTTATTGTTATACTGTCATTTCCATTGTCCAGTTGCGGTCTTAATTGTAGATTGTTAAGTTTTAATGTTATTATTACTCTTACCTTATTGTCATGTTTTTCTAACTTATTATTATTATTATTATTATTATTATTATTATTATAATTATTATTATTATTATTATTATTATAATTATTATTATTATTATTATTATTATTATTATTATTATGCTGGTTCTTCAAACCGATCGCTATGCAAGCAGGCCATCCACTTTTCTGTCTTTCCAAAAGAAGCCCAAGCTGTATGACAGAGTCGATAGACTTGTATTTGAAAATTATGAGTACAATATTGACGAAAATAATAATAACAAAAAAGGGTTACTAATTATATAAAATGTGTGTAATATTGTAAATATAATGAAAATAGTGATAAGGATAACTACAAATCATGTACCTTTCAATAATAATAATAATAATAATAATAATAATAATAATAATAATAATAATAATAATAATAATAATAATAATATTAAAAATAATAATAATAACAATAACAATAATAATAACAATAATAATCATCTTCATCGTCATCATCACATTGAAAATGACATTAATGAGAATAATAATAATATAAAATGGCCTAAAATGATAATGAAAATGATAATATTAATAATACATGTAGTAATAATAATATTTATTACTAATAAAAATAATGATGATCATAATAATAATAATAATAATGATAATGATAATAATAACATTAATCTATTGATAAAGATAGTAATATTAACACATATAAAAACGATAATAATACAAATAATAATATTGATAATAATAATAACAATAACAATAAAAATATTGAAAATAATAATAATAACAATAACAATAGAAATAACAACGATATCAATAATAATGAAGACGATCATAATAACATTTATCTAATGATAAAGATAGTAATATTAACACATTTTATACTGATAATAATACGAATAATAATATAGATAATAATAACAGTAACTATAAAAATAATAATAATAAAAATAATTATAATAATTATTATTATTATTATTATTATTATTATTTAATATGATGATGATGATAATAATAATGAGGATAATAAATGATGAATTATTATTATTTCAATAATAACAATAGCAATATGGATGATGATAATAGCAAGAAGAAGAAGAAGAAGAAGAAGAAGAAGAAGAAGAAGAAGAAGAAGAAGAAGAAGGAGAAGGAGAAGAAGAAGAAGAAGAAGAAGAAGAAGAAGAAGAGGAAGAAGAAGAAGAAGAAGAAGAAGAAGAAGAAGAAGAAAAATAGTATAACAACAATAGCTGTATAACAACAATTATGATTTTAATATTGAGGTTACTTGTAATAATAATAATATTATTATTAGCCTAATACTTTTAATAGTATTGATAATAAATATACAGATTATAAATATGCAATCAATGAATTTCTAACTCATCTGTTGGCGTCACTTCTGCAGAGATGCCACAAAAGTTACTGTTACCTTGCACCTAATAAGCTATACGTAATGTGCTTTTCAATTTGGTCAGCTTTGAAAGTAAGAGTGGAAATTACTAAAAGAGCAAGTGTAAGTCCGTTGCGGTTTTTGTATTTATTTATTTATTTATTTTAGAGGGAGGGGGGGGGGGGGCGAGGCGAACAGGGAAATAACAAAAGTACTGACTAAAGAGCACATATACAATGAATAGAAAGAGAGAGGTACAAATTTAGCAAAGAAGGAGAGAGAGAGAGAGAGAGAGAGAGAGAGAGAGAGAGAGAGAGAGAGAGAGAGAGCTGAAAGAAGGAGGAATAAATTGTGTGTGTATGTATGTGTGTGTGTGTGTGTGTGTATGTGTGTGTGTGTTATAGATAAATATATAACCTTTTAAAAGCAGAACTAGAACGCTCAAAACGTAAACCAGTCTCCTTCCTCCCAACCCTCCTTACTTTCCACTCTCCTTTCCCACCACCTTTTCTCTCCTCCCTCATTCCTCTTTTCTCATCTTACTCCCCACCATCTCTTTCCTCCACCATTTTTACCCTCTATCCTCATTTTTCTCCTTTCAATCACCCATCCCCCTTTTCAAAACATACACGGTCAGCGGGTGGTCTGGTGTGGTTTGCTCCTTCTTTCCTATCAAACATCTATCGTCTTTATCTCCCCTCCTTCTTTTTAAATGTTTGTTACTCCCTTGTAACACCTCTAATATTCTGGCGCTCATATGACCGTATGCAGTTGCGAGCGCCGTAAAACCTCTACTAAAATCAAACTAAAAACAATAATGGTTGTTCTGATATATTTTAGTAGTATACCGTAGATTCAGAGAAAAGTGTATCGCTAAGTGGCGAAGTGGTACCTACAATTTGGATGACTTCGCTGATTCAGTTTTGGTTCTCAAAATCAATAGTCAAAACAAATTGTACTTGTGATTCAAATCTGCAAATGTGACATCATGTGTATACCGCTATTTGAGTCTGTCACACAGTGCTAATTAGAAAGCAGAATATTAATGTTGTTAATAAATAATAATATTATTAAACCTTGTTGTCTACAGAGAGGAGATGGAGAAGGGAGGGGGATTGGGGGGGGGGGGGGGGGGTTGGGGGTGGGGGAATTGGAAAGTGAAAACCCCGAGAGAAGGGTTTTACGAATGGAAAAGAGTTCAATGACGAGTTTGCATTTTTTTAACAAAGGACCATGACAATGAGTTTGGTGGGGGTTTCCCGGGTGCCCCGGGGGGGATTTCTCCCCCTATAAAGATAATCACTTTCAGCGAAAAAAACTGACACCATTGCTTTTTCTTATATCCTCACGTAAAGATTCACGTTAGCCTAAGACACTACGGAACTCTAGCCGGGAATGACGAAAACAAGATAAACACGCCGAGACAACACGTTCAAACCTTCGACTTAGGTGCAGCAGTTCGGACATTTGCAGTTGCACGTAGATACCCCTGTGGGTTTCCTCAGAGAGAGAAATTAAACAAA